TTAGTTTGTTCATAATGTTATATACATGTTGTACATCATATATCATCATATCGTAAGTCATATAATAATTATTATAAATGTGAAAGTTACGATGGATGGACAGATGGCGTTTGTAGCCTAAACGGCTGAACGGATCTCCATGAAATTTGACTCAGGTTTAAAGCATAGTCTGGAAGAACACATAGGCTACTTTTTATCCCGGGAATAGTCACGGTTCTGGGATTCATTAATTTGGTTTTTTAATGTTCACTCGATCATTCTGCAACGGTTCAACATATCTTATTGAAAGGCACAGATATAAAACAAAGTCTGGAGTACACATGGGATAAGCTTCATCCCCGAGAAATGTCCGGTTCCCGAGGGATACGTAGCTTGTTATTTATATAGTTCGTATATTTTCTAACGCCACGCGGACGAAGTCGCGGGCAACAGCTAGTGAGATATAATTTATATATTTTCAGATGAAAAACCCTACACATGTGAGGAGTGCGGTCAATGTTTTATCACAGCCAGCAAGCTCGGAAGACATAACAAGAGAATCCATCTAGCTATCCGACACCAGTGCAGAATATGTTACAAATACTTCTCTAGGTGAGTTACTATAAAATAACTATATTATTAACTAACTGTGCTTTTTTATAATATAAGGTGGCAAGCGGCTTGAATCCACAGAAATGTAAAGAGACCGCTGCATATGACATCTGCAATTACAGCGCTGCCTACCCTTCATTGACTGAGACGCACATAAAGAGGACATTTCCTTCCTATACGTCTCCACCGTCTAATACACTTTTCCTTCCCATCCTTAAGAAAAGGGTGGAAAGGGAAAGAGACTAAAATTAGGCCTCCGGCACCACACTCATCAGACTGTACGCGGAATTGCTTCCACTTCACACCTGTTTTGTGTGGTCGTGGTATTGCTGGGGCGAGCCCTAAAATTCGACGATGTTAAAGCGGGCTCTACCACTGGTTGCGACTTCGCCCGCGTGAAATTGAAATATAACGAAAAAAATGTAGCCTATGTTACTCACAGATAAATTACCTTTCTAATGGTGAAAGATTTTAAAATCGCCCCAGTAGTTTTTGAGTTAACTCAATACATACAAAACTACAAATCATTCCTCTTTATAATATTAGATACAGACTAGCTGTTCCCCTGCGGTTTTATCCGCATGAAATTATAAAAAACTTTATTTATACACAATAAAGGCTTTTGACATTGGGTAAAAAACCGATACCAGCAATCTTGCTTCTTTGTTATCAGCTTGTAGTTGTCCCTTTCCTGCATGATGGTTTTTATCCACATTATTTATTCCCTAAGTTTAATAGCGTGAAAATATATAGCCTAAAGCATGTAAGTGTAAGGCTTTTTTAATAAGAACTAGTTGTTCCCGTGCGTCTTCATCCGCATGAGATTATGAAAATTTTATTTTATTGTTTACATTTGTCAAATTATCAATAGCAAATGTCAAAATGACATGACAAACCTTGGCAATCTTTCTTTCTTGATGTTGACAGCAACTAATGGTCTCTTTCCCACATTAGAGTTTTTATCCAAAATATTTTCCCCTTAAGTTTTATGGCGTGAAAATATATAGCCTAAAGCATGTATGTATGGCTTTTATTAAAGAAATAATTATTCAAAAATAAACTGTGACTGCTGACATCTTTAATAACTAAGAAGTATAGATATTTAGCTAGCTAATTCTGTTCAGTTTAAACTGTCAGTTAATACTGTACATAAGTAGACTATTTTTGTTTTCCCAGGTTTGAATATCTAACAAAACATTTTGATAAGAAACATCCAGAAGATAAGTTAGAAGGGGAACCGTACGGTATGTATTGGTCCTTTGAGTCGGATTCTAAAGTCTCATTTTCTAAAAGGAGGGCGTAATGCACCCAGGGCGTTATTTATTGTATTTTTTTACAGATTATAATGCGATATTGCCTTATTTGAAAGAACTTGAGGAGCAATTGCAAATAAAAACTGATGAACCGCAAGAGAAAAGTGAGAAGTTATGGGAAGATTGGCCGATAGATGATTGTAAATATCCTAATATTAAAGAGATTATCAAACCGATAGATAATGCTGTGAATAGTTTAACAGTGGTCGTGGAAATGCCTAAAGGAATAATAGATACGGAAATTAAAAAAGAAATAGACTCGGATGGATATAATTCAGATATCAAAGGGGATATACAAGACAGGTGAGAAATCTCATCTTACTAATATTATAAATGCGAAAGTTTAGATGGATGTTTGTTAGTTTGTAGCCTAAACTGCTGAAGGGATCTCGATGAAATTTGGCACAGGTTTAGAGCATAGTCTGGAAGAACACATAGGCTACTTTTTTCAGGGAATAGTTACGGTTCTGGGATTTATTAAGTTTTTTAATGTTTACTCGATAATTCTGCAACGATTCAACATGTCTTATTGAAAGGCACAATAAAACAAAGTCTGGAGTACACATGGGATAAGGTTCATCTCCGAGAAATGTCCGGTTCCCGAGGGATACGTAGCTTGTAATTTATATAGTTCGTATGTTTTCTA